ACAACATATGAGTGAATAAATAATGACAGAAATAATTTTTGGGTGAACTATCCCTTTAATGACAATCGGCAGCATAGGTGGAGCTTGTGGTCATGGGGATTTGGAGCTAAAATGCCACTAAATTGGACAAAAATGCCCCTGCACAAATAAATTAAATCTATAACTCCTGTTGCTAACAAAGTGAAAATGAATGAAAAGTGTTGATTGCTGCATTAAATTAAGATCTGCTCATGTTGCACCGTTTTTCTTTTTAAGCGTTTTTACCGTGTTGCGCATTATAACCAATCACACACGATTATGCTGAGTTTAGGAATGCAATGGCCAATCTGAGGCGTTCAGATGAGTCATCCTGAAACTGAGTTTTGTTGTGTGCTCGCGCTCGCTGACTGAATTCTGACCCTCGTGAATTCTCTCATCATAAACAACAAAGCGCAGAGGTACATACAATGCAAGTAAGAGATTAATTTCACAGTGTAGACAGCTTCAGAGATTACAGTATAACGATAGTTCTGTTTTTTTGTGAGCGCTTGAACTCTCCATAGATCAAAGTTAGTGATAATGTTCTTCGCACGCTTTCTGCATATAATGTATTTGCTGTTCGAATAACGTGGAAATGAAACGTTATAATTATCAATTTCTAATGTTTTTATTCAACTGTAATCACGTTAAATACAAATTCAGTCCCATTAAAAATATTTTATGACAGCCATATCTGGTTCTTGCCTAAAAAGACGGATTTATTATGTTTGTAGTTAATAGAATTTGGCTGCTTTTAGCCCTACCCTGGAGTTGGTTCACACTCCGCCTATGATCGGCAGCATTTTTTGTACTGTTCCTTTAAGACCTGCACGCATCCGTTTTTCTCTCAACTGTTTACATTCACTTTAGACATAACCAACTTTTTATATGTAATCCTTGTGTGTTTTTGACAGTATTAGCTCAATCAGATGCAAAAGATAACTTAGTCCAGTAATCAGGCGCTGTAGCACGATACTATGATTTTTTTTTTTTTTCAAAAGCAGATCGTGGAGACATTTTAACCGTCCACGATCACAAATAGTCAAAAATCAGTTGGCTGACCAGGGAAGTCTTGTTGGTTAAAAGTGGGTAAATGTAGTCAGGTTTAGGGACGAGCACCTAAAACAAAGAAATATTTTGAAGCCAGAAAAATGTTGATAGAAAAAAAAAATTATATTCATCTCCTGCAGCATCAGAGACCATGCATTATTATGCTACTGTAGTCCGTGTGTGTGCATGAATCCTTTAAGGCCATCAACAGTAGCTCATACTGTGTTGTGTGTTCCTTTTCCCCAGGCTTGCTCATATAACTGAGGGTTTTGTAGTGCTGCTCACTGCTCCGTTTGCCTCGCGCCCCGCCGCTAAACACGCTGCTGTGGTGTGGATGCTCTGCATATGCCAATTAATGCAATCAGCCTCTTGATTGATGTGTCCATCAATTGTAGATCCCTCTAACACTCTGCCTGCAGGATCGCAACTGCAGCCATACTGCTGCCATGCAGCACTGTGGTCTGTTCTGCCGCTCAATCCGACTGCAGTCCGATATGTTATGCAGAGCTTCATTTGCTTGCTTGCTTGCTCTGTCATGAGAAATTAATAAGATACAGTCCAAATGGTGTGTGAGAGAAGCCCTCATCCTTGATGGGCATTATTGGCTGAGAGCTCGCGCTAAGGGCTCAGGGAACAGCCTCAGTGCTATTTATAGGCCTGGCATCGTGTGTGGCAATAGTGGGGGAGCGTTCTTGATGCCAAGTGCATGATTTGTGCCCAGGGATGTGTGGAAGGGGCAGGGTGAACACGTAATGTCATCAAATCGTTAAAAGAGTGCTGAGAAAGTTCACATAACGTTTGTGAGGGACTGTCAATTGATAAAAAAATTCTGTTTAATTATTTATACGATTATATGCCGATGAATAAATCTCAATCACATACGTCAATATTTACTGATAAAAGCACTTATAATGAAGATAATTGAATGCCATTATGGCTTTATATGCCGTATTATATGTTGTATCCATCTTATCCACGTTAGTAATCATAGGTATTTGTAAATACTACATCATTTTTATTTTATTTTTTATGCTTGGGTATGCTCTGAAACATATGCATAGCTTTAGAAACATGCAAGCACTTAAAAAAAAAAAAAAGAAGTCTCTTACGCTCACCAAGACTGCATTTATGTGATAAAAAATAAAGTTAAAAACAGCAATATTGTGAAATATTATTACAATGTAAAATAACTGTTTTCTATTTTAATATATTTTAAAATGTTATTTATTCCTGTGAATGCAAAGTGGAAGTTTCAGCGGCCTTTACTCCAGTAAAAAAAAAGTAATAGTAAAAGTAAGTAAGTTAATATTATTAAATATTAATATAATTAAGGATAACTGTTGTCTATTTCTATATGTATTTTAACTCATGTACTGGTGTTAATTTTTTTCATTAATTGCATTAAATAAAAATGTACATTATATTAACATGAGGTGTGATTGCATCCTTGTGCAAATCAGCAATGGTGCACACTCAAGGCTTTCAAAGGGGCAATGTGGGATCTCACCTACCTCACACATAAGCTAACAAAGGTTAATGACCTGGATTTGACCTGGACTTGGAGTGACAGACCTGGCTCCATCACACATCCTTGTAGTGGAAGATGTTCTCATATTTCTCTGCAGCTCCAAGCAGCCAGACATACTGATGTGTGTGCATGTGTGACTTAGTCAACAGGCCAAATGCAGCAGTCATGCATGTGTGACTCCAGCTCTTATATAAACTTCCTTTATAGAAGGAATCCTGTATAAAAGGTGGGATGCGCTCCAGTAACTGGCACCATTCCACACTTGTATGATTTGTGTAGAATCATATTTAAAGGGGTCATATGATGTTGCTAAAAATTATTTTGTGTATTTGGTGTAATGAAATTTGTTTATGCGGTTTAAGGTTAAAAGCTTTCACAACGAAACACACAGCGTCTTCACGACATGGCGGCAACAATAATACTACAGCAAGAATAAAAGTTAGAGAATAAAACATTTGGGCGGCGTTATGCAAATCTTCCCACATCGTGACGTAGACATGTGGAGGCGTGTTAGAACGAGCCGTTTTAGGTAGGCGTGGTTGACTCTTAACTTTTATAAAGAATATCTCTTTGGATTTGAGACTTTAGTCTTTGCAACTTTACAGATCTTCTTTATGCACCAAGAGCTTAATTGTAACACTCCAAAGAGAAAGGAAAAATTGAAATTGCATCATATGACCCCTTTTTAAACATTAAACACTGACATGAAACAATAAAGTTAGCTTTATTGGCAGGATTGTCAGCATTTACAATATATCCTAAATCTTGTTCCTAAATAAATGCATTTTTGGTAAGCAGACTTTCATAAATCTTAATAAATAAACCCACCCCGAACTTTTTAATGTTAGTGTAATTTGTAATTTTTCTTTGGATTTTTAGGGTGTATCTGCATAACTCCTGTATTCAGTTCCTGATTCAGTTCTTTTTTTCCTCATATTTTCTATATTCCTGCAGACCCCATATTTCAGTTTGATATAGAACTGTATGTAAGATATGCTATATGTCACACTTTCAAATAGCTTGCACACATATTGAAGTTGATATATTTATATAGTAGATTTTCATTCTGTGTTCAAGGATGGTGTTATCCTGACTGAAAAGACATCTGTGTTCCCGACATCTGGGGTTTTTCTTTAATATATAATAAATTTGATATGATGGTGCAGTAGTTCTTTGTAGGAGAGCTCTTTGTCTATAGAGCTATAGAGCATGCCTTTTTTCTCAATAAAGCAGGCAAACAGTTTTTTGTTTTGTGTACATGTCTGTTAATTAATGTGTAGAAGGTCTATACGTGAACGTTAGTATGGTGGCCTAGATCATTGCATGAGAAAAAGAGTGCATGGCAGGAAGTAGTGAAGATAACTTAACAGCCTTCAATGAAAGAAATTCCTGTGCCCCTTTAACGCCCTGCAAAAAAAGGTTCCTTATATCACTGTGAATTATTTGATATAACATGTCAACAACTTTAATTAGATTTTTTCCCCATGGAAACAGATCACAAATCTTTCACATGTGACTAAGAGGTTAAACTCAAAGGCTAAGTGAATACAATATAAAATAGATAAGGTCTTATTTCCACATTATATGAAGTATTGTTGCATTTTATATGTTTTCGTTCCTTTTAATGGTCAGATGGGTACAGTTTGTCAGGAATGATCATATTGTTATAGGGTTGACTAGCTTGTGCTCTCTGAGACGCAACCCTTCTAAGAGTTCATAAGTTATTAGTTCATCCACTCTTTCCTAATGTTGGGATCAGAAGGAAGGCAACGCAAACACTGTTTTTTCACAATTTGGCACTGCACAGCATCTTGTTGTTTTCGGAGCATCTTTATCGTTTGGTTTCTGCGTAGACCTGCGTTTGCCACTCTTGTCATTTACCTACTATGTGGCTAAACAGGCAGCGATGTAGAAGCAGGCGTTGATCTTCTTCTGCGGAGGCAGTGTTTAGCTACACTATTACGTCATAGAGTTGTACATTCCACAAGCTGTTGTTTTGGCAGACTGGCTTCAATATAAGCTGTTTTTAGACTAACAAGAGTTTTGAGTTCTGAAACATACATGATGTTTTTATTGTACATTGACCTCTTATATATCAAAAGATCAATGGAATTTTGATTTCTCAGTTCATGACCCCTTTAAGTAACTTTAATTTATATATTTATATTTTGTTTGAGTCCCACCAGTCATTTCTTTCTCCCGCTTCCAGCGCACAAATCACTGTCATCCCACTCTCACCCGGCAATTCAAAGCTTCACTCAGTTGCGTCAGGTCCCGCGTGAATGCAGACCTCTACTTTGAAGCTGTTCTTAATGTCAATGTTACATTTAGATACACTTAACAGGTTCTTTTTGAATTGTCATTCTCACCTATGTGAATATTCTGGTGCTTTTGTGTGTTTCAGAGGTTTATTGATCGTCATCTCTGCGACTGGTGGACACAGTTACCGCTACACTGCCACCATGCTTCATTTTCGCCTTCCTTCAACCCCTTTCTCCTTAACTCCTTGCCTTTCCTCTCTCCTCCTCCTGATCTTCCTCTTGGGGCTCGCCCATCTCTCTCAGGCTGGTGGCGACGCCCACAGCAGCCCAGGGAACTGTTCAGGGGAGGACAGCTGCTCTGAGGGTGTCGTCCTGCCGGTATGGAACCCCCAGAACCCCTCTGTAGGCGACAAGGTGGCACGTGCCATCGTCTACTTTGTGGCCCTCATCTACATGTTCTTGGGTATGTCCATCATCGCCGACCGGTTCATGTCATCCATCGAGGTGATTACATCTCAAGAGAAGGAGATAACGATCAAGAAACCCAATGGAGAGACCACCACTGCGACCGTACGCATCTGGAACGAGACAGTCTCCAACTTGACCCTCATGGCTTTGGGATCGTCGGCCCCTGAGATCCTGTTATCCGTGATTGAGGTATGCGGGCACAAGTTTGAGGCTGGTCACCTGGGCCCGAGCACAATTGTGGGTAGCGCTGCCTTCAACATGTTCATCATCATCGCCCTCTGTGTTTACGTGGTCCCAGATGGTGAGGTACGCAAAATCAAACACTTGAGGGTCTTCTTTGTGACGGCAGCCTGGAGCATATTCGCCTACATTTGGCTCTACTTGATCCTCTCTGTCTTTTCTCCTGGTGTAGTGGAAGTTTGGGAGGCCGTGCTTACTTTCCTCTTCTTTCCGCTCTGTGTGGTTCAGGCCTGGATCGCTGACCGTCGTTTGCTCTTTTACAAATACGTCCACAAGCGCTACCGTGCTGACAAGAACCGTGGGATCATCATTGAGACGGAGGGTGACGGCATGTTCACCAAGATGGATATGGAGATGGACGGCCAAGGTGCCAATTCCCACCACAAGGAGGCACTTGATGGGATGCTGGCTGGGGTGGAGGAAGGAGGTGGAGGGGAAGAAGAGGAGGCGAGGAGGGAGATGGCTCGTACGTTGAAGGAACTCAAGCAAAGATACCCGGAGAAGGACATGGAGCAGCTGATTGAGATGGCGAACTATCAAGTGCTGGTGCAACAGCAGAAGAGTCGAGCTTTCTATCGCATCCAGGCTACTCGCATGATGATCGGAGCGGGGAACATCCTCAAGAAGCATGCTGCGGACCAAGCCAGGAAGGTGGTGAGCTGCCATGAGGCTAATGCCCAAGAAGAAGACCCTCACACCATCTATCTGGAGTTTGAGCCCTCTCATTATCAATGCTTTGAGAACTGCGGCTCTTTAAAACTCTCTGTGACCCGACATGGTGGAGACAGCGGCTACACTGTCAAGGTAATGATTCCGCTGTCTTTACCCAACAGTACTGTGATTACATTGCTGTGATTGTACTTTAATTATATGGATGTGATATCATTTTGAGGCCAGAAACCTACATGATTCCCAGCAGCGAGGATGTACTCTCAGAGCTATTTTAAATAATTACAGCACTTAGGAGATGAGCAATTAAATGACACTGTTTTAACAGATTTCAGATTAGCTCATTTTATTATTTAAACCTTTCAATTGTGACGTTTACCACAGGAAATTAGTTTCAGTTATTTTAAGTGGTGTTGATAAGAGGGTGAAATATATTATATTATTATTAATATTAATAATAATACCACATGGACTAATAATTCAATAAAAATGATAATTTTGTTATTATTTATTATATATGATTTTGTATTGTTATTATTATATGATTAAATAAAAAATAATAAAACCAAATAATAATTGTGACCCTGGACCACAAAACCAGTCACAAGGGTAAATTTTTTTAAATTGAGATTTATACATCATCTGAAAGCTGAATAAATAAACTTCCCATTGATGTATGGTTTATGATAATATTTGGCTGAGATACAACTATTTGAAAATCTAGAATCTGAGGGTGCAAAAAAGTCTAAATATTGAGAAAATCAAATATTCAAAAAATGAAGTTTTGATATATTTACGGTAGGAAATTTACAAAAATATCTTCATAGAACGTGATCTTTAATTAATATCCTAATGATTTTTTGGCATAAAAGAAAAATCGATAATTTTGACCCATACAATGTATTGTAGAAATAAGTTATTATTATTTTATTATTATTATATGTGGTATAACAACAACAACAATACAGCATGATAATTATAATAAATGTATAAAATGTAAATATCTATTATGTTGTTATTATTATATAATATGATTAATATTTATAGTTTATTTTTTATTAATATTGTTATTTATTATTATTATTGTCGTTTGAATCTTTAAAGCTGACAGTCGGTGTGATTGACGATGACATATTCGAAGAAGATGAGCATTTCTACGTACATCTCAGCAACCCTCGTGTTGTCCACCGTGCCGAGGTCTCCGTCCTCGACCCTAATGCGGTGTCGCCAGGCAACAGCATTATAGGGTCCAGCCACGTTCCTCCCAAAGCTGCCCTAGGTAACGCACACACTGCCACGGTGACCATTTACGATGATGACCACGCAGGGATCTTCACGTTCGAGACCAATTCCACACGAGTGAGCGAAAGTGTGGGCATCATGCAGGTGAAGGTCCACAGAACATCTGGAGCAAGGGGGAAGGTGGCAGTACCGTACCACACTACAGAGGGAACTGCCAAAGCTGGAGAAGACTATGAAGAGGTGGCTGGCAAACTGGAGTTCCTCAATGATGAGACCATGTAAGTTAAATATTCTTACTTGAATATAATTTTTTCAAGTGTGCATGGGCAGATTTCAAGCAGACAAAATGCTCTTTGTTACCGCCAACACCGATCCAGCCAGATGTTTGCAGAGAGCATATGTTTTTGTGTTCGAATAGGCAAGACTGAATCGAGCCATTCTTGTCATTAAAAGTTTAGCTCAAAGCTGCACCCCAATTTGCATACTTCTACTCTGCACTAAAAGTGCATACTTGACTAGAGATGGAAAGTTTTAAGTATATATGAGGCAGTACGTATGATCTGTGACAAACTGATACATCTTAAAATTGTGTTTTGACATACAATAGCGAGACAAGACTTAAAATTATTATTTCATTATTATTAAAATCTTTGGAGGCTGTGTCTCCTCATTTCAAATATATCACAGTGTCAGTGACAAATGCAAATTGGTATGCGGCCCATGTCCCATGATTTATTTTTGTAGTCTGCATGTACATGAATGTTTTCCACCACAGATCGGTAGTTAAAATAAGACGATGTGCCCTCATGACCTGGAATGATCAGAGTATGCATGGATTACAGGCTCCAATGCTAAAAAAAAGAAACACCCATAGATAAGAGCTAGGCAGAAGGAAATCTATAAGTCACACATAAAAAAGGAATAAACAAGGGATAATGTTGAAGAGATGTGTGAAGTCTGGAAGGAAGCCAGAGAGGGGGAGATGGAGAACGATAAAGCTGCTGAGTTTTCTCTCAATCCTGAAAATCGATACTGACCTGCACATCAAGCACACTGCGCTGCCTGCTGCAGATCTGAGGTGAGCAGGTCAGCTGTAGAAAAGAACATGCTGGCAAAAGAGAGAGGGAGGCAGTTGTTGTAAACCGCTTATCAGGTTGTAACAACTGAAATAGGCGTTGGGGTGAATGTAGCATTGTGATTCATGGATGGACTACATTGACAGTGAGAAAAAAAAGCTCATGCATTCCAAGATGGAGAAGGTACAATCACAAGCGGCATGCCCATTCAAACTGACAAAACCCCTCAGATCCTTAAACCAAGTAGATATTGAATGCCACTTTCAGAAAAAAAGTGTAAAACAGAACAGTTTGGTGGTGGTATAGTTTTTATTTACCATGAAAGGGAACGGGATTCAAATCCAGACCTATTTTTTCCATTCGGCAAGAATATATATAATTGGTAACACTTTAGGGAACACATATTTACTATTAAGAGTTTTCATTCTAAAGACTCATAATTTAATATGTATTTATTTTCAGTTTTCAGCAGTCATTACTCCAGACATCTTAAATGTCTTTAGTGTAGTTTAATGCATCCTTGCTGAATTAAAATATCAATTTCTTGGGGGGGGGGTAAATGGTTAGTTCACCCAAAAATTCTGTCATTAATTACTCACCCTCATGTCGTTCCAAACCTGTAAGACCTTCGTTCATCTTCTGAACACAAATGAAGATATTTTAAGTAAATCTGAGAGATTTCTGGTCCTGCATAGACAGCAACTCAACTACTACGTTCAAGGCCCAGAAAGGTAGAAAGGACATTGTTAAAATAGTCCATGTGACATCAGTGGTTCAACCGCAATTTTATGAAGCTACGAGAATACTTTTTGTGCACAAAGAAAACTTTGTCTATGCAGGATCAGAAAGCTCTCAGATTTCATCAAAACTATCTTAATTTGTGTTATGAAGATGAACAAAGGTCTTACAGGTTTGGAACGGCATGAGGGTGAGTAATTAATGACAGAATTTTCATTTTTGGGAGAACTATCCCTTTAAATTGGCTTGAAACACTCAATTTATGGTAACCAAATTCACCACTATTTCTAATAAACAGGTTTTAAATGTAGGGTCACTTGCATCGAAATCAAGAAACCTAATGCTCAATTCCCAATTTAAATTCTGCTCAGCTTATTAAAAGTGCCAGTAATGTTGTCCAGGCCATTTTATTATGTTTTGTACTGAAAAATGTCAGTTCTTTCAAAATGTCACAGCTTTTTTGTTTTGTCCACTGTAAACCAAAGAAATGCATGTGTGGATGGCAAAAATTGATAATTTTAACACTTTCTAGAAAAATGTCTTGCATTATTTGATGCTTTGGCTACATCTGAATATTAGATTGAGATTTCATCATGTTTCCTTGTGCATGCTAAATGCTTTTTTTTGCTTTTGGGCTTATCTCACCGCAGGCACAAAGTAAGTTGAAAAGTAAGAGAGCAGCGAAATGAAGAGAGGCATAATGGTGTGCAAGGCATCATGGGATGGACAGAATTAAACCATGATGTGATGATAAAGCACAAGCTATAATTCACAGAGGAGGAAAGAGAGAGAACAAGAGAGAGAGAAGAGGTGAGAGGCAGGTGCGCGGGCGGAAGGGAAGGTAGAACGAGGGAGGCATGAGAGATGATCACACTCATACTGTTCAGTGTGTTGGGCAACTAGAGAGGGTTACAGAAGTCAAGCACTGTGTGGGAGTGTGTGTGTATGTGTGTGTGTGTTTTACATGAAATGTGTCATACTGAAAGTGTTGTCTATCATGGAAAGACCTGACCTGTGTGAGTGTATGTTGATTCTAAAGGGTGCGTGTGAGTATTTTTGGAGGTGGGTGAATGACCGTGTGCCACGTATGAGCTTTTGCGTGTTCAGAAGTGGAAACTGAGAACCAGAAAAAAAAAAATTTGATAATTAGGAATGCATCAGTATTAAAATTCGGGCTAATACAGATAAACTGATAATTAATGTTGATTACAATATTTATGCCACCCAAAATATTACTTTAACCTCAATTCAACTTGAAATGTTACCTTGTTTGTTTGTTTTTATTTGAAGTTTTTTTTAGAATGATTATTAATTCATACTAGTGCTGTCAAATGATTAATCGCGATTAATCGCATCCAAAATAAATTTTTTTGTTCACATAATATATGTGTGTCTACTGTGCATATTTATTATGTATATATAAAATAAATACAAACATATGCATGTATATATTTAAGAAAAATATGTAACGTTTATATATTAAATGTATATTTAATATAAATTATATGAATATAAATATATACATGTAAATACATGTAAATATTTTCAAAATATATACTGTATGTGTGTGTCTTTATATATACATAATAAATATACACAGTACACACACATATATTATGTAAAAAAAAAACTTTTATTTTGGATGTGATTAATCGCGATTAATCATTTGACAGCAGCACTAATTCATACATTAAAATGTTAATGTGTATGCTTATTTACACATTGTCATTATGTAAACAGGAAGTTAGTAAATAGACTAATGTAAGACTAATGTAATGTAAGTTTATTTTTTCCAGTTAATTTCGAATAAGACATTACCGTAAAATGACTTTCAGTTCATTGAGGGAGTAAGATGTAAACTGACTGATTCACTGATTCACTTTTTGCCTGACTAAAGTTCGAAGTTGGCATGAAATGGAAATTCACCCTACATATTTTCTAAATGCATCTTATTGATCTTTTTGCAAATTATTCATCTGTCTATCCATGTCGTTTTTAAATGTTTTTTACATTGTAATTTTTCATCAAAATGCTATAACTCAATCTTTCAGTGAAACGACAGTTCTCTCTGGTGACTTTTCTTTTTCGGTAATCTGTTTCTCTCAGATGTACGTCAAAATACAGAAGAAAAGCTCTGTTACTACATCAGTTACATCTTGGCTCTTAATTATTGTTGCACATTTGCAACCACTTTAGTTGTAGTCTTTAACCCTATATGGCAATTAACCGATAAATTGCCGATGTTAAATGGTAAGTTCACCCAAAAATGAAAATTCTGTCATTAATTACGCACCCTCATGTCGTTCCAAACCCGTAAGACCTTTGTTCATCTTCGGAACACAAATTAAGATATTTTTGATGAAATCTGAGCGCTTTCTGACCCTGCATAGAGACATGGTACTCTCGTGAATGGCAGCAGACTAACCCGGTAAAGCAATAATCATTGAATAAAATCATTATATTTGTTTTCTATGCACACAAAAAATATTCCCGTAGCATCATAAAATTAAGGTTGAACCACTGACGTTACATGGACTATTTTAACGATGTCCTTACTACCTTTCTGGGCCTTGAACATGTCAGTTGCTGTTTATGCAGGGTCAGAAAGCTCCTGTATTTCATCAAAAATATCTTAATTTGTGTTCCGAAGATGAACAAAGGGCTACGGGTTTGGAATGACATGAGGGTGAGTAATTAATGGCAGAATTTTCATTTTTGGGTGAACTATCCTTTTAAAGCAAAGTACTGTTTGGTTAAAATAAATTAAAAACAAAATGCTCAATCAATAATGGAACTTCTAAGAAACCCAAATCGTTCCGTGAAATCGAAGTCGATGAATTCCTTACAATTCCCATCCCTAGATATGTGTGAGTGTGATCACTCCTGAGAGCATGTTGGAGGTGGTGTGGAATTGTGTATAGTGTGTCTGTGTGGGTGGATGAGTGAATTTGACTCCAGATATGATTCTCTTAGCTTGTGCATATATGTTTCTATTGCCTGCATTCATGCTCAAAGCATGTATGCACACATGTGGAAATAAATTAATGTGAGGGTCTGGTTTTTGAGGTTTTGAGTTTCATCTATAGCTTATTTTGTATCCTTTGAATGTGTTTTGTGTTTTGAATGTCTGTATGCATTTGCATGCTTTTGCGTATGTGTATATGAGTGTGTTTGTCAGTGGATTTCTGCTGACCAGACAGACAGCTGAACCGCTTCTGCCAAACAGCACAACAGAAGCTTAACTCTTATTCCCACTGCAGTCACAATTCCAGACAACTGACAGCCGACAGCAGCAGACCAGGGGATTCTTGGTACTTGTGTGTGTGTGTGTGTGTGTGTGTGTGTGTGTGTGTGTGCACGAAATTGTAAAGTGGTCCCACAATTCAAGCAGCTAATGAGGAACTTTAGAGACTCGGCTGAAATTCAAGTGTGCATTTTGGTGTGTATTCATGCCCATTAAAAAA